TAATGATTTGTAAAGAGTCATTCAAAATCTTCATAAATATGGAGTTATTGGATACAGAGTTTTACAAAGTCATTAAAAGTTCTGTGTTATTCAATTAAAACTAAAGAATCTCTTATTGTTAATGAATTAAAATTTTATGTTATTGGTTTATGATTTTAAACACTCTTCTTTACAAAATAAAGTCATGAAAAGTATCTTATAAATACAGAGATTGTTTGGGAGACTTTACAAGACTTTAAAAAAACTAATCAACAAGATTATATAAAACTCTCAAACAATCCTTTAAAATCATACAATTTATGATTTTAGCATAGTCATTTAAACTCTTTATAAGTTAGAATCCAATAACACCCCCTAAATACCTTATAAAACACTATAAATCATTTTAAAACCTCACAAGCCTTTTACTAATTAAAAATATTACCTGTGTACAGGAGGATAGGTGAATGACACGGAAAGGAGAGGAATTAAAAGGAGAGTCATCAGTCCTCTCTACCATTGGAAATTTCTTCTGTGCAATATATATGGCATTGATCTAGCATACGCTTCGACCTGTTTTTTTTTCTTTTTATCACTGAAAAATGATGATGCATTGTCCCAGATATGGATTGATCGTGAGGCCAAATTAATCTCCAGTGGTATCCACAACCGTTGCTCGACACACATTGGTGCAAATGTGACTTTTGTGTGTTTCTCCTTAAACACCTTACTGAAACATTCATCTTCAAAGTCAAAGCCATCTTTGTCGTCAAGAAATATCGCGTAGGAATCATCAATCGCCTGAATGAATTTTGAATCCACTAATGTCACATCTTTGTTGACATAAATATCAGGATGACTTTCTTTTCTTTGCTTATATAGCTGGACCGCTGGATCAATATGCTAAACTCAACAAAAACAAAATTAAAGTCAGATCAACAATATTAGAGAAAGCGCTAAAATTATTGTTAGTTTTTTATAAGGCTTTTATACGGTTTTTATAAAGTTAGGTTCTCACAAATTTACATATAAGTCTTTTAAACGGTTTTTATAATGTTCTCAAAAAAGTAAACTGAAAAGTCAATTCTAAAACTTATATAAGCCTTATAAAAAACTTATAAAACAAATTAAAACTGTTAGAAAACTTACAGCTGCTGTTATTGATTTTCCTGGCGTCTCAAGTGTTGTGAACCACTTGGCATCAACTTTGTTACCTAGAATTGTTAGAGGCCTAAAAACGAACACAACATATTTACAGCTTTTAAAACACTTATAAACAACTAAACGGAATTCCATTTCTTTTTTTGTCAAATAAAACTGAAACTTACTTTGTTTTCCTTGAACTCTTCCATTTAGCCAATAGTTCTACCCGTGTTGTATTAACTTTTTCAAAGGGATGAACAATTGGGTGCCTTTTCTTCTCAGCCGTGTAAGGCCACTGAGTGTGAATTGATGGAGCATGGTTTCGTTCACTTTTCCTTTTTACTTCACCAACATTATCAGCTTTATGCTTCTTTCTTCGTGGCTGAACAAAATAAAGTACAAATCCAGCATTTTATCGATTTTCAGTTGTAATAACTATTGTAATATTTTTAATTGCAAACTAACCATAGCTTTTGTTGTATCATCAACATCTTGATTGTCACTTGTTTTACGCTTCTTTTGCTGCAATGAACCAAACGAACACATTTTTAGACCATTTAATCCAAGTATGGAACATTTTTATAAAACCTGATAAACTCTTGATAAAAACCACATAAAAAACAGATAAACTCTTGGTAAACATTATAAAATCGCCTTTAGGCCTTATAAAAACCTTATAAAAACAGTTTAATAACAATATAAAAACCTTATAAAAACAGTTTAATAACAATATAA